TACTATATTAACATAATAATAATATACACTATTGACAAAACTACGAAGATTATAATTGGACTTAAAAACACTTGAATGAAATCTATGTAGTTGAAACAGGAAAGTGTTATAGAAATATTAAAGGGTGTGTTCTGCATTAAAATCCTTTCAACTAATAATTAAACGGTCGGAATGGTGCCGAGTTCCCTTGTAGCGGGCACTGGAGGCAGCGGTGGGACCGTTACAACCAGGTCACCCCGTTCACCGCGTAGCAAACCCACATTCTTTTTTCTCTTTGAAGTCGATGCAGAGTATCGCGCGATCTCGCACTAGTGTTCCGTCGAATTAATGACTGCGGGGGACGCTAGGGAATTCTTTTGAATGATGAAACTTTGCTGATAGTTTTAAACCAATTGAAAAACTATAACATGATGGGATGCAGCGATTTCACTTCGAGCACGCTCGCATTTAGGGAATATGGATGTTAGATACTGTAAAAGAAGCAACAACTGTAATACAATAAATATGGTACTCAGGCACAGATTTAATAGCTCGTAACAAAATAAATAACACTTTTTAAATTCTTTTTCTTTCCATCATAGAACGGACACCAAAAACCTTAATTTTGAAAATATGAGCCTAATATAGTATATTGCGATAAAAGATTGCTAGTTAAGATTATTAATTTATTTTGTTTACTCAGTATGCACGTACCCGCAATTATTTACCCATAAAAAATTTATTGTGTAAAATGTAGATTATCGTTCTTGCACCAAATCGCGCGCAAATTTTTTATTGTGAACTAGATATAATTTTAAGTTAGTTCGTAAACAATTTAAACATTTATTTTAGAGCAGTCTTTACATTTATTTATTTTTTCAGTTAGGGAATGAGGTTTTTCATTTTCCTTTAACTAAAATTTGTCAAAGTTGCAAAGTCTGGATGAATAAAATCTTAATTACAATCCGACATGAGTGAGGAATCGCTTGAACGACGAAAAAAGTTCGCTTTGATGTTGCATACAGGCTTTATGAAGCCAGTCGACTAATAGATGTCTGTTAAAGTGTTAAAACTCTCGTTTACTGGACTTGCAAAGTTTTATTCACTTTCGATTTAGATTTAAAAAAAAGAGGTTTTAAATGTCTTGTGTAATGAATTTTAACGCGTTTTTATTTACAACATTTTAAGTAAATCTCACTTTATAGCGCTAGTAAATTACATTACATCTAAAGTAAAGTATCATACATGTCAAACTGCTGGGCAAATGCCTCCAATGTACTGAGGGTATCAGGGCATAGTCCACCACGCGGCCCCACTGCGGATTGGCGGACTTCACATATATATATTCGAAATATTTTTTTTGTTATTATTTCGAAAATATGCAGGTTTCCTCACGATGTTTTCCTTCACCGATGAGCGCGTGATAATTCAGCACTTAAAATTGACAATTTCATTGGTGCTGGCACCGGGTATCGAACTCAGGTTGCTCGAGTATATTAATTTAAAGGGATAAAGAATAAAATAAAATAATAATAATTTATTTAAATATTTAATTTAAATTTAAAGGCGAGCGCCAGGACACTGAGCTATCACGGCTCGTTACATTACATCTATTTAAATAAAATGATACGGGTCTGCCAAATCATTGGATTTGTGTTGGTTAAGTTTAAATACCAATGCAGTAAAAAACTTACTGGTGTATTGAGCGCAAGAATGATCTCGAGCAAATTACAAATTATTGTTTCATTTGTCATGTCACCAAAAGTTACAAAACAGCATTTTTTCACCTTTTGTGTAGGAGCATTTTCTTTTTTTTATCTTTTTAAATTCATATATTTAATGGACTCTATTAATTGATTATTATAAAGTTAAATAAATAATGAATCTATATAAATAAAATGATACAGGTCTGCCACTACTGGATAGATTCCAATAAATTGTTATAAGTTTTATTACTTAGACAATTGGGTCTTATCTTTTTTTATGTGAGAAGGTGGCAAGCGAGCTGGCTGGGTTGCAAAAGATGGCAAAGCATCTGCATGCTTTGCCACCTTTTAATAAAGTGGACCCAGGTTACACCACTCGCCAAACAAAACGCAGAAGTATAACCCTTCTACTTCACGCTGGTCTTCTGTGAAGTCACGGGACTTCCGATTACCGTCAGCAAAGACTGTTGCGTGAATATAAAATTGTGATATAAGTTTTGAGAAACAACGATTTTTAGTTATTGTGGGTTTTGAGAAACGATTTGATTTTTTTAACGACCACGTGTTCAATGATGAGTGTTTTCTTGCCGTGGAGTAGTGGTACAAGTGATGTAGTTGTTGATATAATAAGCAACGCACGTGCCCATTTACTAGTTTTTCATCTGCTGTTTTTACACATAATTCTACGGAACAGTTCATGTGCGAGGCCGACTCGCACTAGTCCTGTTTTTATTATATATATTTATATAATTTTTAACAAAAAAAAATCGACTTCAAACCGGAAACTCAAAAACATTGTTTATGCCTACAGCATTTGAGGATTGTCTAGATTTTCTGGGATGCATCTGCTCTTATGATGTTACAGGGATATCTCCTTTCAACAATAAAATAATCATCAAAATCGTGCGACCACACATAATAAAATATATATACGGTCCCTTCTTTTCCCCCTTCTTTTTTGAAGTCGGTTAATAAAGCGAAGCAAGTTAGATTCTGTACCCGTATTTAAACCTATTAAAATAATCTCATTCCGCAAATAGAATTTCCAGACGACCGAAGCTATTACTAAAAATAAAATGAATCATAAATGTGTAAAGTCAAAAATAAAAAGATATTTCTCCCAAGTTTGCTTAGAATCTTATCGTAAATTGCGTTCGGCGGAGAACTGTTGACGTTCAATCCAATTTTGTGGTCAACATCAACACATACGAACAAACAAAACCGAGCAAACGTCGTACGTTAGCCAACTTCTCAACGGATTACTTTAAAGCTTTAATCTTTTAGGCTAGATGAAATTTCTTGACAACATTTGTCTTTTTAATTAAGCACCTAGATTTGTTTCCTTAAAAATTGTCTTAAAAATTGTTCTTGTTGATATATATATGAAGATACCCCTTCTTTCAAATGGGTTCACCTAGGTGTTAACTTAAAACCACCATCCATGGACACAATATAACGTTTAAAATACGATATAACTGCCAATGAAAATGCAATTTTCAATATGATTATACTTATACTTATATACTTTTGATATTACTCCACCCAGCACCAGCAATGGGCATCATAGCTTAACAAAATTGCGCACAAACCAAGACACTGATGGCCAAAAAATTTGAAACGTTGTGAGAATATACTGTCCTAATAAATATATATCTTGTTTTAAACACAGTAAATGCGTTTTTCTCTTCATTTGGATGCGGGGATGCTTGAAAAAATTGTTTTTATAGGAAGCAACAACCGTTATAATAACACTGTTTTACTTATTCTTATAAGCTCAAAGGGCTTGGTTATCTGTTAAACTGTAATTAAAACTTACTGCACTTATTCGTCCTTCACAAAGTTTATGCATCATTTATGTTGAATAAGCTCAGTCAAAGCTAGTGGTGGCTGAAACTTTTATTAGGTTTAACTGGGGACAGGTACTCCATTTCCTAAACTGATTTGGGCCTTGCACAAATGAGTAGTTAGTTTTCCACCATTTGCAGTATTCCGCTCTGGGGATTGCTCTCGGTTTTACAATGATTCAATTTGTTAATTTGGTTAAACGAAAGAAACCAATGAAAAACCACGTTTCCTACTTATTTAAGACAAAATACTGACGTAAAACTTCATGGAGACATTAAGGGTTAATATTTGGTTAAGAAGAACTAGACGAGCGACGAACTTTTACAAACGATATTCAGGTGGCGACGTGTATATTCGTAAATGTATGTGGATCTGGAAGCTGCGAGCAAGGATTACGTAAATCTTCTAATATGTACACTCCCCTCTGGGTAACGGGTATAATATATATATTTATAGAGCACTTGCTCTATCAAAACATTTTCAAAACGTCGACAGCTAGTCATTAATTTTAGCAGCATCAAAGCCACATCTCTGATAAATGAAGACGGGGTCCATTTGTATTTATAAAGCGTTTATATTTTGTTGCAATCCCTTGTTAATGATTTAATCACGATTTTCGTAAAAATATAATACGGTGAAGAGTAAAGTTTAGTGTTTAAATTAAAGTCATCTATGCATATAACTCAAATGTTCTTAATTCAGTTTTATTAAATTCGTTACTTGTCAAGGCTTACGACATAAAGAAGTGAATACATGAGACACCTTCTGTATTCACTGGGGAACATGCACTTGACCTGTCTTTTTAACGTGAAGACTCGTACGCCCGTAGATATTTGACGTCGTGTTTTATACGGTGTCATTCTTGAAAGAATAAAGTTGAAGTTATTCATTGAGACTGAACGGAGGCTCTTGTGACCTTTTTTTATTTTTTTGTGTTATATTTTTATAACGAAGGTTTTACTTCATTGTTACATATAATTAGTTTTAAATTATCGATTCACTCCAATTTTAGGGGAATTTATTTATTATTATATCACCTGATATTTAGGCTTTCTTTCCGTAATAGTGTACGAAGGCATAGTCCACTACGTGACTGCGGATTGGCAAACTTACTAGACATGTATCTTCAAAATATTTTTTTATTATTATTTCGTAATATGAAAGTTTATTGCGACATTTTCCTTTACTTATAGACAACTGCACATTCTAATAAACAAAAAGTTTCAATCAACGATTTCGTTGGCGCCGGTACCGGGAATTAAATTTGGATGCTCCATAATATTGAACCAAAAACGAGGGTCTAGACACTGCATTATCACGACTTATATATTGTCTATAACACGCCGAATAACTTTCAAAAATTAACTGTTAAATTTCCGGGTTTTGAAACGTCCCGGACTATTCTTAAAGTTTTTGGACCTGGTTCTAATTATTCCTAAGAGTTATTAGGTACTTAGTTCTGTGACTTACCAATGCTCTGGCTGACCCATATCCCCAGCATGTCCAGCTGCAACAGGCGGTGGTAGAGGCCGGCGCCGCTCGTGTGATTCATGAAGAGGTGGTACAGGAAGGAGCCGCACCAGGGCGCCAGGGCCCCGAGGAGGTGGCACAGCGAGAGGAACCAGGCGGCACCACCTCCCCCACTCCACGGCAACAGACCAGGCAGCACCAACATCATGTAGACAAGGGATACTCCTGGTGACAAACAGATGTTTATGCCTTTATACGACTATCTGTATAGAAAAGTAGGAATGTGAATCCAGTTTTCATAGGGACCAACACTAGGAAGCATGCTGTGCTGGGGCCATGCAACAATCTTCGCTGTTGCACGAATGGGCAGGTTTTTCCGGGGATCACGAGCTCGCAGAAGACAGCGTGAATTGAAAGATCTACACTTCTGCGACTCCTCTAGTAAGTGAGATAATCACTTTATTAAAAAGTCGCAACGCATCTGCAACCCTAAGGGTGTTGTAAACGTCCGCCAACTCGCTTGCTATTTAGCCTACATACAAAAAGAAGATACAAATATCTAATAAAACTTTTATATCTTCTTTACGTTTTAATTTTTTGAGTCATAAATGTTGAATTGTTGAAAGATTATTAAATCTGATATTAAGTATTTAAATATGAAAGAATATTTACGGATTTATCGCGTTTACTTACAGCGTTCATGGTCACGGGCAGTCGGTCCCGTGGCCATGAACTCTGTAAAGGGTTCGAAACGCCGGAAATTAAAAATAAACGCAATAAATCCGTAAAAATAGTTTAATTTATAATGTGTCATCGCGTAAATACTAGAAATTATCAAGGATTTAAACATTTATTTTTATTAATCAATTCAAAAAAAAAATTTTTCTTCTAGGTATTTACAGTCCTTCCTGTTATTATCACAATTATTAACAGTTCAGCGACAAATCTACATCACTACTACAGTGTTTTAACACTCAAAAGTAGACTTTTATACTAAAAGCTTGTGATTAGATTACATGTAACATAAACAGAACAACGAAACATGCCGAGTTTGGAGCATAAATTATAAGTTTCTGATCTGACCTAATTCAAAAAGGATAGATTAGTAAACTTATGCATAACTAACGGAAGTATTTGATAAAATCTACAAGATATTAAATTTGTCAAAAGATTGTTAAAATTTTTTTCGTAAGAAGTTTCGTACGTACTGCGTTCGTACTAAAATATGCTAGAATATATATATATATATAATATAATATATACTAGATGGCGCCAAGCATTGTAAAAATGCAACACAGAATGTAAATATGTATATACCGAAAATTTCGCGCCGGTGGTGAACTGCCGCTTATAATAATAAATAAATCGTTACCTAGAAGAAGTTCAGAAATCTCCGCCTCAGCCTAATTTTTTTGAGTGAAATTTATTAAGATGTTGCATATTGAATTTATTTTTTATCTCTGGCTTTTTGTACTTGTGAGCCGTGCAGAGCCTATAGTGATCTACTAGACTATTAATTACCCACAAAATTGTAAATATAGCTGATCAAGCGCTCTAAGATTCGCTCTAGATTTGCTACGCGCTTGCTATTTCGGCACTAGCAACCTGTTTAGCTTATAAAGATACTTCTACGATTATCTCTTGTAGTTATTTCTCGCTTACATATTTACAAAGCCTCATAGAACAAGTGGCAAGATTCACGCGCTTGCTTTTCTATTACCTAGTGTATTTTGCCACACTATTAGTGACTTTATTTCCTAAACGATAACTATCTGTCTCGAGAGCGCGCGAAAACAAGGCGGTGATGCGAGGGGCCAAGTAAGTCGGAGGGCTTTACCAATGGTTGCTATTGCTCACGCGACAATAAACACGCCAACCGGCGTTTGCGTGCGTATTGAATTTAAAGAGTCTTATAACAAGGAATGGTCCTCAATTCGTTCGCTTAATTTTGATGAGTACTTACTATTTTAACTTAATCATAAACTTGTGTGTTTTTTTCAAATGTGGAATCGCCTAACAGACTCGGGGTTACAATTATTTTTCTACGACTTAATGCCAAAGGATATATGAGTGATAATTACGCAAATAATAAACAGAGCATTATCAGAGTGTTCAATAAAGCAAGTCGGTAGATAAGGTAAACGACTTATTCTAGGTGCTAGTGCTAAGAATTAGGGCACACCCCAGAGTTGTTATCACAATAAAATCATGAACAGATTCATTTTAACTTATACTTACTTTATGTATACGCTATAAAGTAATATGCTAATGCAGTTATTTATTAAACAGTACTCCAATTTTGTTGATATTGATATATTTGAATGCTCTAAATCTAAGTATAAGAACCAAATAGTTTCCAAATTAAATAAGTTAAGCTATAGTTTTTAATAATTATGTATTTTTGTATTCTTGAAGTGTTCCTTTTTTTATCTTTGTGCTATTTGTTATTGTTTTTTTATTTTTATTTTTGTAACGTTAGATACGTTACAAAAATAAAAATAAAAAAACAGCTTCCATTAAAATAATATTGTATGTTTAATACGTGGATAATGTAGTGGGCTGTAATATTATTACTACATCAACGCAACAGATCTGTTCATATCATATATTGTAGCTGTTTGTTATCCCCAATAAAATAAAATAAAATAAAATAAAATAAAAGTAAGCATTTCTTGGACTTCCCAATTATAACTCGGAAAACCCTTCTTTATAAGAAACCCCTCATCGTTTAATACGCGGCTTCTTTACTGTTGCTACACCCTCTGCTTAAAACAAAATGTATTTATGTAAGTACATGGTTTTATGAAAATTTCACAAGATTGTGTTGTGGGTTTAGCGATTTAATGACGCTTTTTATGTATCAGAAGGTGGCAAGTGAGCTGCCGGTTCACCTGATGTTAAGTGATAGCCCCTGCCCAAGGACATTTGCAGTACCCGTGCGGATGCGTTGTCAACTTTTAATAAAGTGGGCTCCGGCTACCTCATACACCAGACGAAACGCAGAAGTGTTACACTTTTAATGCTGGTCTTCTGTGAGGTCGCGGCACATACCCGGAATGACCTGCCCATTCGTACAACAACCGAAGCTGTTGAGTGGTCCTACCACAAGCGTAATTATTAAATACGCCTGTCAACTAATGTCAGTGGCCAAGAATGAGTCTAGTGTCTTGAAAGAAGAAGGCTGCAATCAAGTCCAATTTGTTATTTGTGTTACTAAGAATAGTTTAACGGTCGGTTTCAATATTCACATATTTTACAGATAGATTTGGTTACAGCGATAGGTATTTGACATTAGCTCCATAATACTTACGAGAAAATTCTGTCTCCAGTTACCAAATCTATCTGTAGATTGACAATCTTTATTGACAATTGGTTACATTTTGATTCTTACACAATTAAAAAAAAAACGCAGCCACAAAACCCTTATACGAAAGACAGGGATAATGTTACACTTCATGTTATTCAAAGTAGCATTATTGTACTTATATTGTGAATAAAGTAAAAAAAAAAAAAAGAAAAGTAAAAAAAAGTAAAGTATAAATTTATACTTTGTACTATAGTGTAATGCGTAGTCACGTAGTGAACGTTGGTATTAAAATGGATCGGCTTTAAAGATAGACACACGAAAAGGTTATCCAATATTGGCACATATAAAATGGGACCAAGCTCCTGCCTTTGGGGATGTGGGGTCGATACCTTCTTTGTCTAACCGTACTCAGAGCATAAATAAAATATTCGATACACTTTTATCGACCCTTTTAGTGTTTCTTAAAATAGTACCTACACCTATATTGCACAACAAATCTTCTGCGTGGGACAATAAATCTGTTATATTTAGACAAAATTCGCCTTTATCCTAGTCTTTAAATGTCCTGTTTATACAGCGTGTGGTTACCATCACAACAATAAATGAACACACATATAGAGGATAACTTTTTAAAATTGTATTAAACATTAATCACTCGGTAAATATTGATGTTTAAACATCAATATTTACCGAGTGATTAAATTTTCCAAAACAAAGAATTTAAGAACAACCTTACGTATAAAACTGTAATGTGACATGACGTATAATGTCTCTTACGTCTAATATGTCTCTTAGTTAAGGATGATAGCAAATTTCTATCTAAAAAGTAAATAAGACTGTATTTAAATTGCATAGCCAGTAATTGCACTTTGACGACTTTAAATTTCATCTATATTTATTGTTTATTAAGAGTTTATTGTTTATTAAGATTATTATAAAGTTTTTATTGACCCAATTTATTTTATCGAAGTGTTATAATTTGCCTAGTTTTAAAGATCTAAGCCGATGTATATAGGGACAGACAAATGGCAGGACGACTTTTTATACTATGTAGTTATAATTTAATCAGGGTTCTCAATTTTTAAGACTGACTAGCTAATGAGTTTAAAAAAAGTTTTTGAAATCGGTTCTCGAGCTCGGTAATAAAAATTTTCTTCGCTTCCAGATACGCGTTAAGACTCTAGGTTTGGCATTTCCCTGGAGTGACGAACGAATGGAACAAAAATGAAACGAAACAAAGAGACACGCGGCTTTCGTTTAGTATTGTTGCTTTTACATGAACGTCACTAAGCCAAACATTTTTTGGTATATAAAGCTTGCATTGTTTGGCAGATCGTCAAAACCATCACGACAAGGTCACGCTGACAATGGTTGAATTTTAGCGCAATTATGTATGTACGTCAATGACATTGCAAAAGATTTGTTCAAGTTCTGGCTTACGTCCAACCTTGTATAATTCTCATTTTTAGTTATTAAATTTCGTTTGATTCGTTCATATGATAAGGAAACGATTTGGCTGTGACACCTGACGTTGAAAGTCAATCAAATAAATAGATTGATAAAAATTACTTAATTATAAAACAGAGTCTACTAAACTAAACTAAATAGTATATCGTGATACACGAAGGGGTGTAATCAATAATCAAATTGCATTTTCCAAGGTTCAGACCATGACGCGTGTTAAGTTAAAAATAGACGATATTTCCTCGTAACATAACATTAAAAGTATAATAAAAGCTAAATATCGAATGGAACATCGTTTCAAAACGTTTCCGACTATCCGATAACATTCTGAATCGATAGTTTCGTATCACAAGATAATTTCCAAAATTTTTGGGTACGGTAAATATTTTTTTGACGAGACTAGATCGGTATTATGGCTGAGACTTTTGTTATAACATAATAAATTTCGACGTCC